GTGTGGAGTGTGGAGTGTAAAGTGTGGAGTGTTGAGTGGAAAGTGTGGAGTGTGAAGTGTGAAGTGTAAAGTGTGCAGTGAGGAGTGTAAAGTGCAAAGTGTGGAGCGAGGAGTGTAAAGTGTGGAGTGTGGAGTGTAAAGTTTGGAGTGTGGAGTGAGGAGTGTAAAGTGTGGAGTGTGGAGTGTGGAGCGTAAAGTGTAGAGTGTGGAGTCTGGAGTGGAAAGTGTAGAGTGTGGTGTGTAGAGTGTGGAGTGTGGAGTGTAAAGTGAGGAGTGCAAAGTGTGGAGTGTGGAGTGAGGAGTGTAAAGTATAAAGTGTGGAGTGTGGAGTGCACAGTAAAGTGTGGAGTGTGGAGTGGAAAGTGTAGAGTGTGGAGTGTGGTGTGTAAAGTGGGGAGTGTGGAGTGTAGAGTGAGGAGTGTAAAGTGTAACGTGTGGAGTGTAGAGTGTAAAGTGTAGAGTGTGGAGTGTAGAGTGTAAAGTGTAGAGTGCGGAGTGTAGAGTGTAAAGTGACGAGTGTAAAGTGTAGAGTGAGGAGTGTAAAGTGTGGAGTGAGGAGTGTAAAGTGTGGAGAGTGGAAGTGTCAAGCGTGGAGTGTAAAGTAAGGAGTGTGTAGTGTAAAGTGTGGAGTGTGGAGTGTAAAGTGTAGAGTGTGGAGTGTGGAGTGTAAAGTGTAGAGTGTGGAGTGAGGAGTGGAAAGTGTAGAGTGTAGTGTAAAGTGTGGAGTGTGGAGTGTAAAGTCTCAGCTGAAGGAAGTGAGGAGTGTAAAGTTCAAAGTGTAAAGTGTGGAGTGTAAAGTGTAGAGTGTGGGGTCTAAAGTGTAAATTGTGGAGTGTAAAGTGTAGAGTGTGGAGTGCGGAGCTTCCCCCATAGACACGGCGACGCCACAGGAAAACCAGAGACTCGAGACGAGACACGTGGGGGCAAAAAAACGAGCATTTCGTGCGAGACTTCCTCCAATTTTGATGTTTTCCACATGTTATCAAACAGGTTGGAATGTCACAAAGTGCCACGCCTGCCACGCAAAACGACATGACAACCTGCTTGGAAACATTCGAAAAGGACATGTTTTCCAGCTTCCCCCATAGACACGGCGACGCCACAGGAAAACCAGCGACTCGAGACAAGACACGTGGATGCAGAAAAACGAGCATTTCGTACGAGACGTCCTCCAATTTTGACATTTTTGACACATTATCAAGCAGGTTGGAATATCACAAAGTGCCACGCCTGCCACGCAAAACGACATGACAACGTCCTTGGAAACCTTCGAAAAGGAGAGGTTTTGCGGCTTCCCCCATAGACACGGCGACGTGTCTAGAAAACCAGAGACTCCAGACGAGACACGTGGGCGCAGCAAAACGAGCATTTTGTGCGAGACTTCCGGCAATTTTCACAGTTGGCAACATGACAAAAGGACAGGTTTTGCAGCTTCCCCCATAGACACAGCGAAGCCACGGGAAAACCAGAGACTCGAGACGAGACACGTGGGAGCACCAAAACGATCATTTCGTGCGAGACTTCCTCCAATTTTTCACACTTTGCAGCTTCAAAATCGACGTTTTCCTACGAATTTTCCTTAGAACCCGAAAATTTGCAACCTCAAAATCGATGTTTCGTGCGAGGCTTCCGTCAATTTTCAGCACATGTCACAAAATGCCACGCCTGCCACGGAATTTGCACCTTGTCACCACTTGACGCAGCCCTGCCAATGCGATTTACAAAAAACACGCCACAGGACGCGTCTAAAGTGCTGCGCCTGCCACGAAAAATGACGCTGGACACGTCCAAAGTGCTGCGCCTGCCACGCAAAACGATTTTCCACACGTTGCAAAACACGTCTGAATGTCACAAAGTGCCACGCCTGCCACGCGAAACGAAGCAACGACACGTCTGAAACCTCCAAAAAGGACCCCTCCTGCAGAACTTCCCATAGGCACGGCCATATGGTCCTCGCGCGGACGGTTGCGAACGGTTGCGGACGGTTGCGAACGGTTGCGGACGGTTGCGACCGTGAACGCAACGTCGAGCGAACACACCCTCAACCCCCAGACCCCCAGAGTGAAACGGGAACCCTTGCTACGCATTCGGGAAAATATTCCAAACCACCAACCAGACTTTGAATATTTGGGATCCTTTTTCTGTGCCAAATTTGTCGCCGTTGGATTCAAAAAAACAAGATGAAGCCCACGAACCCGAATGCTCACACGTATGTTAATGGTACAGATGTCAAAACACATGGTTATGCAGTCACGCACAATATCTTTCTGCAATAGTTTATATTTGAACAGTCTTGTACATGTTTCCCTTGTTACCAGTCTGCAGTGTGGGGTGGAAAGTGTAGAATGTGGAGTGTGGAGTGTGAAGTAAGGAGTGTGGAGTGTAAAGTGTGGAGTGGGGAGTGTAGAGTGTGTAAAGTGTAGAATGCGGAGTATAAAGTGTAGAGTGTGGAGTATGGAGTGTAAAGTGTAGAGTGTGGAGTCTGGAGTGTACAGTGTGGAGTGTAAAGTGTGGAATGAGGAGTGTAAAGTGGAAAGCGTGGAGTGTAAAGTGTAACGTGTGGAGTGTAGAGTGTGGAGTGTAAAGTGTGGAGTGTGAAGTGTGGAGTGTAAAGTGTGGAGTGAGGAGTGTAAAGTGTGGAGTGTGGAGTGTGGAGTGGAAAGTGTGGAGTGTAGAGTGTAAAGTGTAGAGTGTGGAGTGTGGAGTGAGGAGTGTAAAGTGTGGAGTGTGGAGCGAGGAGTGTAAAGTGTGGAGTGTAAAGTGTGGAGTGTGGAGTGAGGAGTGTAAAGTGTGGAGTGTGGAGTGTAAAGTGTGAAGTGTAAAGTGTGGAGTGTGGAGTGTAAAGTGTAGAGTGTGGAGTCTGGAGTGGAAAGTGTAGAGTGTGGTGTGTAGAGTGTGGAGTGTGGAGTGTAAGGTGAGGAGTGCAAAGTGTGGAGTGTGGAGTGAGGAGTGTAAAGTATAAAGTGTGGAGTGTGGAGTGCACAGTAAAGTGTGGAGTGTGGAGTGCGGAGTGTGGAGTGGAAAGTGTAGAGTGTGGAGTGTGGTGTGTAAAGTGGGGAGTGTAGAGTGTGGAGTGAGGAGTGTAAAGTGTAAAGTGTGGAGTGTAAAGTGTGGAGTGCAAAATGTGGAGTGGAAAGTGTAGAGTGTGGAGTGTAAAATATACAGTGTGGAGTGTAGAGTGTGGAGTGTGGAGTGTACAGTGTAGAGTGAGGAGTGAGGAGTGGAAAGTGTAGAGTGCAGTGTAAAGTGTGGAGTGTGGAGTGTAAAGTCTCAGCTGAGAAGTGAGGAGTGTAAAGTGTGGAGTGAGGAGTGTAAAGTGTGGAGTGTGGAGTGTGGAGTGGAAAGCGTGGAGTGTAAAGTAAGGAGTGTGTAGTGTGGAGTGTGGAGTGTAAAGTGTAGAGTGTGGAGTGTGGAGTGTACAGTGTAGAGTGAGGAGTGAGGAGTGGAAAGTGTAGAGTGTAGTGTAAAGTGTGGAGTGTGGAGTGTAAAGTCTCAGCTGAGAAGTGAGGAGTGTAAAGTGCAAAGTGTGGAGTGTAAAGTGTAGAGTGTGGGGTCTAAAGTGTAAATTGTGGAGTGTGGAGTGTAAAGTGTAGAGTGTGGAGTGCGGAGCTTCCCCCATAGACACGGCGACGCCACAGGAAAACCAGAGACTCGAGACGAGACACGTGGGGGCAAAAAAACGAGCATTTCGTGCGAGACTTCCTCCAATTTTGATGTTTTCCACATGTTATCAAACAGGTTGGAATGTCACAAAGTGCCACGCCTGCCACGCAAAACGACATGACAACCTGCTTGGAAACATTCGAAAAGGACATGTTTTCCAGCTTCCCCCATAGACACGGCGACGCCACAGGAAAACCAGCGACTCGAGACAAGACACGTGGATGCAGAAAAACGAGCATTTCGTACGAGACGTCCTCCAATTTTGACATTTTTGACACATTATCAAGCAGGTTGGAATATCACAAAGTGCCACGCCTGCCACGCAAAACGACATGACAACTTCCTTGGAAACCTTCGAAAAGGAGAGGTTTTGCGGCTTCCCCCATAGACACGGCGACGTGTCTAGAAAACCAGAGACTCCAGACGAGACACGTGGGCGCAGCAAAACGAGCATTTTGTGCGAGACTTCTGGCAATTTTCACAGTTGGCAACATGACAAAAGGACAGGTTTTGCAGCTTCCCCCATAGACACGGCGAAGCCACGGGAAAACCAGAGACTCGAGACGAGACACGTGGGAGCACCAAAACGATCATTTCGTGCGAGACTTCCTCCAATTTTTCACACTTTGCAGCTTCAAAATCGACGTTTTCCTACGAATTTTCCTTAGAACCCGAAAATTTGCAACCTCAAAATCGATGTTTCGTGCGAGGCTTCCGTCAATTTTCAGCACATGTCACAAAATGCCACGCCTGCCACGGAATTTGCACCTTGTCGCCACTTGACGCAGCCCTGCCAATGCGATTTACAAAAAACACGCAACACGACACGTCTAAAGTGCTGCGCCTGCCACGAAAAATGACGATGGACACGTCCAAAGTGCTGCGCCTGCCACGAAAACTGCAACACATCTTCTGAAAACGTCACAAAAGTATTGCGCCTGCCACACAAAACGACTTTCGACATGTTACAAAACACGTCTGAATGTCACGAAGTGCCACGCCTGCCACGCGAAACGAAGCAACCCGACGTCTGAAACCTCCAAAAATGACCCCTCCTGCAGAACTTCCCATAGGCACGGCCATATGGTCCTCGCGCGGACGGTTGCGGACGGTTGCGAACGGTTGCGGACGGTTGCGACCGTGAACGCAACGTCGAGCGAACACACCCTCAACCCCCAGACCCCCAGAGTGAAACGGGAACCCTTGCTACGCATTCGGGAAAAATACCCAGACCCACCTTTCCAAAATGTCACAACCCTGTGACGGCTGTGTCGTTCACAGGTCGAATCCTGGCATTGTACTGGGCAATTCGGTCTTCAGATGGTCTGACTTTTGCAATGTACTACTCAATCAGCTACCTCTTGGACTGCAGCCTGGATTTTGTTGAAGGGGCTCCAGTAAACTGAGTTTACAACATACCAATACATATAACATATTACAACATAGCTATGGAAACCCAAGGCTTACCTTAGGAATGGTGTTCATGGATTTTGAATCCCTACGCTAGTTTACTGGAGGGTAGCAAAAACGGTTCTTGTATGTTTTGTTGTTTCATGTTGTTTCCTGCGTGTTCGATGCTATGATCCTTCATGACTTTGTTGGGTCTGCGATGACTCACATCAGTGCGGACGGGTATGTGTCGAACTTGCCCGGAATAAGAGAGCCATATGGGTGTTTTTTGGAGGTGAACCATCCAATTGTGGGGTGCCCCGTTCCATCTATGGCGATCACCGGATGGCAAAGGTAGCCTTTGACTGCCCCAGGTATAGATGGGTATGCAGCTCGCGCCCTGAATCAAGAATCCAGGTTGGGCTACTACTTGGACGCTTGGACAGCGATCAGCATCGATTTATTTTTTAGATATTCTTAGATTTGGTGTTACCACGTTGTACCATGTTTTAAGTAAAACCTCCCGATTTGTAGATGAGTTTCCTATCAAAATGTGGATCTCCTGCCAGGTTTGACTACGTGAGGGTATTCGAAAGCTGGGTGTCGAAGTGTCAAGACACACCAGCGTACTCGCTTGTAGTTGCAGAATCCTTTCTGGCACAATATGTTGTTTGCATGTCATCACATCTCCACCCGTAAAAATCTCGCAAGAGCAGTTCTCTCTACATATGTGCGCATGTGCACACACAGTTTATCTTCGCATATGGCCTTGCAATGACACAATTCGCTCCGCAACGTTCATTTCTGTGATTTGGGGTTCGATTTCTTGATTCTCCAGTACAGTATGTGTGGACGATTGATCCAACTGGCTTATTTGTCATTCGTCTAGGACTGGTGGCCCAACGATCAACCAGTTATGTTTGCGTTTCTTTTCCAGGTACCCCTCTCTCTTTGCAAAGCTACGGATAGGAAGTCAGGATGTTTAGACTACGACACGGTGCTGACTCTTCCAACCCTAAATTGCACACTAGTTGATTCTGTTGTGCTTTACAATGTTCCAATTGATTTTTGCAACTGGTGTTCCATGGTGTTCCACATGGGATTCAAAAGATGGTTCCACCGAGGACATGGTAATTGATCGAGTATCATCTTGCCTATGTCTGCACTATGCCGCCAAATCAGTGCTGGAAGGTAATACATGTTTCACAGGAACTTCAGCGCTCCTGGTGGCCTTTACACTCAGATGCCTCATGGTTTTGGTAGTCGCTCGGCAAGAAGCGCGGCTGTTGCTTTGATGCTGCTGGTGGGTGAGTTTTCGTATGTCTCTATTATATTATATATATATATGTGTCTCTCTCTCATATGTTATATATACAGATGCATATATTAATATAATTCATTTTCCTCATGTGTTTTCATTGTCACTCTTGTTGTTCTTTCTGCTGCTGCATGCCGCCAAATCACGGCTGCCCTTCTAATTTTCTAAAGATATGATATGCGAGGATAGTTCAAAGTCATGAGATGACCAGGCATCGTATGAAGTACATGTGTATGTGTATATATATATATATATCGTTTAAATATTTTGTATTATTATATACATATGATTTACATAAGTTGTATATATATATAGGAAAGTATATATATATACAAATGTTTGTGTGTGTGCCGTTAGGCATGTGAGATTCGTTTGGGTACACATATGTTCATATGTGGCAAACATCACGTATGTTTACGCCTTTCTACAAGCAGGCGGGTGTGTTGTGAGTGAACTTGCTGTGCTGTTCTTGTTGCCTGTTGGCTTCAGCAAAGGAGATCATTGCGCACAGCTCGGTGATGTTTCTCTCTGAAGCTTGGCTGAAGCACCGGACATGCTTGGAGATGTCACGAGATGTCCAGGGTTCTAGCCACATTCGCGCTAAGTTACTGTATTTAGGCGGGAAGCAGATTCAGGAGGGAAAGATTTTGAAATGGTTTTGAATTGAATGAGACATGGGAGAGTCCAAACAAGATGGGCGTGGAAATTCCATTCGGAAATGACGTAACATTCGTCAAAGGAATAGCTGCCCGGGTGCGAATCGATTGAGGGGAGGAACCGTCCTTCATTACCAAGACAGGTGCCCAAACTTAGGAATTCGGAATTGATGATGGATCATCATAGACGAGCTTGCAGAAAGACATTATTGAAAGATTCCGAGGTATGATGAGGTTGACAGAATGCGGAGTGTTGGTTTGTTGTTTTAGATGCTTTTTGGATGCCCTAGTTGATTCACTTGGTAACCATCCTGGTCCATCCCGATCACCGTCCTGATACCCTAGGAGGTGCTCGGAGTGCACCAAAAGCAGATGGGCTATGACTATGCCATCGTGCGGAAATACCTCAGCGATACTTGGTTGAAATTGTTATCCTCTCATGCTGCGGGTGTCTTACATGGGATAGTCATGATAAACCGGTGGATTAGTGGATTCAAGAATATTGATTTACCCTCTGGTAAATTAACATAGACCCTGAAAATCACCAATTTTTAGTGGAAACTAACCTTCCAACCCCTATCTGCCAGGGTCTATGTTAATTTACTGCAGGGTAAAATCTTTTTTTGGCAAACCCTAGTCTCACAACATCGACTTGCCTTTTTTGATGCCATGTTTGTGTACAGGGAGGGTAGTGTGGTTGTCACTCGAGAGTAGAGAGAAGGCATTCCCACCACATGCTTTGAGCAGATGGGATCGCGTAGCATCACATACAACAATGTCCCAAATAGTACTATTGTCTATTGTGTTGGAATCCATCATGATGTTGTTGAGATACGTGGTATGTCTGGTGAGCTGAACGTGTTTTTGTTGACAGTTTTCATGTTTCAGATCTTAATGACGATTCAATGAACATCAACCTCCCCTCTCTAAGCTCGCAATCTAGCTCACCTTGACGACATGCCTTGGTCATGACAGGACAAGAAATACCTCTTCTGGTCATGCCTCAGTTTCGAGTTGTTTGGCTTGAGTCTGGTGGTGGAACATGCTGCTTCAAAGTATGCCCCTCGACGATATCCTCGACGGCGGTCAGGATATGGAGCTGCCCAATGGACTATAGCCGTGGATAGAAAGGGAAAATGATGGTTGACCAGTGGATGGGGGTATTTTTTTTTACAATTCTATATTACGTTGATTTATGTGCGCTATTTTTTGCTACTAATAAAAAGCACTACATTTGCCTGGGTGAATCTTAATTCCACCTGATGCAGCTGTAGGTAATGTAGGTATTTGCCACGAACAGCCAGTGGCCATTGATAGAATTCACGATAAAGCTGGGCGATACAATGTGGCTACATGTGGCTACGCATACAGCATCTACATGCATACACATATAGGAACACGTACAAAACCATATTAACATCATATTAACCAGAGATATGTGTATATATATATTATGCAGTATTATGTTTACATATGCAGTGTAAGCCAAATGAGAATTGTATTTTGTGGCACATGGCGCACAATGTTGCAGTAAACTCGATGTACACATATATTTACGCTTACAGTGTGTGGATCAATGGCACAAGTCAATTTATACTGAAACATAGGTGTTCATGAAACATTATGTCAACATATGCAGCGATGAATCATATACATCTACAGGTATCTATTCGTGTTGTTTGATGCTACTTGTTTATTTACCATACCTGCTGTGCCATGGTCAAAACTTGGATTGCGTGTCCACATTGGCGGGTGGTTATTGATGCATTGATATTAATTTATAAAGCACATGATGAGGATTTCCAATTATGGGATGGATGACTCATTAAACCATAATTCCATAAACCTACCATTTGTGGATGGTTGGAATAGGGATGAATTGGGGATGGTTTATGGCATTGTCTTTACCACATTACCATGTATATTGACCCTAGCACATATGTCAGTGGATTGGTTTGAGAAAAAGAAGGAAAAACCCATATTTAAAAGAACAACATGGTTTCCGGTTTTATAGTATTCTTCTCTGACCCAATCACATATGTTTTCATTGAACGGTATGTATGCGTATATATGTATATATATATTATATTATATTATATTATATCATATTATATCATATTATATTATATTATATATGTTTGAACCGCAACATACGACCCACCGTAACTGTGCTGATGTCAAGGTGATGCTCTTGGCCTTGCCGGGCTTTGTCTTCCGTGCGGCAGCGAACATTTGCAGATTGATGCTGGGGATCAAACGGCACTGTATGTTTTTCCCAACAAACGTGTGTTAAAAACAACACAGGGAGTTTTGACATGGTTCAATTTCCAGATCAAAAATTGAGAATTAGCCAATAAACGTGGTGATTTGGAGTGTTGCCCTTTGGTACCGACTAACATGGCTGAAATATCCGGCTTTCAGCTAGGCAGACACTCTTTTGAGATCATGCGATGTACTTACTGTAATCAAATTCCTTACGCTGCCACGAAATTCATACATGAAGCCGACTCACTGCCATTTGACTTGCCAAACAACTGCTTCCATTTTTTGCGACCAAGAAAGTAAACCCGTCCATCCCCATGCCTACTTTAGCATGAATTGGTTTTTCACCCGCCTAGTAAAAAAGACATGTGTGCTGACAGCATAGGTTTTATGCACCATCCACTGGTTTAGCACTGTTAAATTATGGAAAATTGCCCATATTAGTTCGCTGATCAACCTATGACCAAGGTGATTTTCCATAGCTACGTTTTCTTTAGCAGAGATGGAGCCTTCTATTGTGCAGCTGCTGGACATCATGCATGGACAGACAGTTTCCCAGGATTGCGATCATCACGAAGAAGGAGCTCAGGAGATGGAACTCATTACGTGTCTTCACTGGCGAGTTGTGGGGTATTACGGTAATGCGATTGCTCCCCTGGAAATCCAACATTTAGATAATTTTTGATTCCGACTTCACGTTGCGACGTCACTGGAATGATGCTTAGTAAGGGGAACTCTCCCAAAATAGCCTTTGTTTCATCATTTATCCAGCACATTTATGTTACAATTTCAGAGGTGTAAAGGATTCTGGAATAGCCATGGATTGAAATGACCACCAAATTCATTGGACATGGTCAGTATTGGGGTGACAATGGGCTCACACACGTTGGTCATTTTTATGATTCAACTTATTTCGGGGTGTTGTTAATCTGGATCATCCATATTTATCCTTTCGGCGGCTGAGTTTGGCGGTTTGGTGCCTATATATCTGGTGTGCGAAAAACTCGTCTCTGATGCGCGTGAATGGTTGGAAATGAGGTTGCCACCCCCAGTTGATGGGATACGCATAAGATGCATTTTGCATTACCAACCCTTCACAGGGGTCCACCCAATTGTTTTAATTAAATCGGGCTATCCATCATGTACTCGTATCGTGAGTTCTTCAGATAGTTCTTCCGCGTGAGTGAGTTCTACACAGTGCCTAGGTGAAGATGAGCAGGGCGCAAGTGGCTCAAGTGGATCCAGGGAAAAGGTGCCATGGCCATGGCCATGGGATGATGCGGGACAGCTCACAGTGGGTCAAGGAAAGTGCTGAGGGAACCACGGCACAACTTTTGTCTGAAACCCGGTTGGCACAAACTATGTGGCAGAGTCAAGGGCAGAAGGCTCTAACTTGCTAGTGTCGCATAGAAGAAAAGAAGGGACACACAACATGTATATACTCTACGTGTGTATACATATATATATACACATATACATATACATATGCATATGCACATAACATGATGCAGCAATCATTTTGGGTGTTTAGACATCTACCAAGCATTTTGGGAGTTATACCCCGCTTACTATCTACCATTGGTAATCGCACAACTGGCTGGGGTGATTTTCCAGCATCACCTGGAAGGACTACATATCCCGTTGTTCTGTGTTTGCATCCCATCATGTCCTTACTCTTCGCACAAATATGCCACATATATCACCATTTTCTGGTTGAAACATGTTGAAACCATAAGGGGGTTCCACTCGCATAGGTGCGACGAGGCTCTTCAGATCGTTTGGGTATTCATCGGGCTGCCAGCCCTCAGAGACTGGGCGATGATAAACACGACCCACACTTTGCCGCATGAAGAATTCCAACATCAAACTGAAGTAAAGCAACGATAAACCATCAATATTGCCACCAATTTGGAAAATTTGGGATGGTGGATCCTATTGCCAATTCTATATATACCGTACCATACTTCACCAGAGTTTCCTGGGGCTCATTAATGAGGGAGTATGAGTGTCACTGAATAAACCTATCAAACTAGCAGTCGCACAATTCCGGCGGCTGTGCCATCCGGTCGGGGGCTCGCTTGGAGCGCCGGAAAGTGGATCGCTTAGAGCGCCGGAAAGTGGATCGCTTGGTAAAGGTCTCATTCTCTGGTGCTCTAAGTGATCCGGTGCTCTAAGTGATTCTCTTTCCGGTGCTCTAAGTGATCCCGTAACCGTGCCATCCTGCCTTTTTGTCGGATATGTGTGGATGCTTTTGTGACCCTCCCCACTATCCAGTTTCTTTTTCCAGCTTCTCCGATCCCTTCTTAATCCTGGAAGCGGGAGTTTGGAGCTTGCAATTGTAGAGCTACGTCCTCTACAAACATCTTTCATGGATCATTGGTCTTAGCCTTAGCACACACATAGAGGCTAGAGGCTTCTCATGACATTTGCCAGTTCCCGCTGGTTGAAGATCGGAGCCAACAGACTGGCTTGTGGAATGTGACAAAGGTGCCCACATTAAGATGTAGGTGTCTTTTGATAAAAAATAAATAAAAATAAAAATAAATAAATTTTCAAAAGATGCCTTCAAGATGAGACATCATAACTCAATATTGTTATCGAATGTTATCGATCTATTTTGTTCCACATGTGGTCCCAGGGTGTTCTTGTTGGATCTTGTTGGACGTGGAGAGATTCAAATCACCCAGGAGTGCGCAGGTGGTCCGGCGTCGGAGCAGAAGCGAGTCACAATGAGGGACGACCGGGACGACCGTTCAGCGTGGTCAAAGTGCGGTGCTGATTAGGGCCAGGTGGAACTGGAAGTCTATTCCTAACACCCGTTCAGTATTATATATATATACATACATACATATTTGTTTATTTATATATATATATTTATACAACTGCATACATATGTATATAGATATATATACACATAGTATATTATATATATATACGGATGCTTTTATGTTCAGCCCATCTAGAAGAATTTCATTGATAGATTCAATTTTTTGGAGGTACGCCGAGTTCACCACCCCTTAAATCCATAAACAAACCAACAGATTGCCATTTGCAGCCCCAGGTTCCTACGGCTTTGTCTCCAAAGTACGGTTCAAAAAGACTGGCGAGTCACTTGGCCAGGTGCTTTTGAGTCTCGCAACGCCTTTTGGGATGTTTAGGAGCTACTGCAGTTACGGCCAGAAATACCGGTCATAAGTCAGGTGAAACCCCATTTATGGAATGATAACCCCATTTATATCCATTTATCACTTATCACATCTTATCACCATTTACAACCGCTAAAGGACTTTAAGTGTGGATCATGTACTATCCCAGAATTGGTCCTGCGGGGAAGAAGCGTGGACAAAGTCTGCCTTGACAGTTTCCTTGGCATCAACCCATAGGCCCATGGCCCGCTGCAAGGATTTTTGCCATGAAGTCGATCCCGAAAGACAAGATCCGGGAGCAACACATGCAGGCAGATGGCCAGTTAGTTTGAGGTTTGACAATTGGGTGACATGAAATCACTGATTTTGCTTGGGGCAAGAATGTCATACACTAAAAAGAGCTTGTGCTTGATGAATTGCGACATTACGACCAGCAATTACCATTACCACTAAGAATGTCCGAATTTTGGGGGGCATCGAATGCCCCACCTTTGGCCAAGCACCATATACACACACACATTTCACGACCATTTGCATATTTTTCTGTTGGTTTGGCAGCCTCACTCAGTCTCACTGAATATGCTCGTCAATAGTGGGGAAAAGATCATGCTGATTTCTCATACGCCATCTACAGATGCACACACACACACAGACTGTCACATTCAAACTGCAGGTGTGTGTAAGTCAGTCAAGAAATGGTTTCTGTTCGACTGGAGTAAAAACAAATGAAATGTCTATGTCTATAAGGCATCTCAAAGTGCATTTCTCCTCCTATTTGGTGGTGAGCAGTGCATTTTTTGCAAGGGCCCAATGCCCCGCGGTGGTTGTAGATAAGTTCAACCTCATCCATGATGTATGTGGGCTGCATGGGAGATGTAGTGGCTGGACCATTGCAAGACCCTCCAAGATTCAGTTCTAGAGAATTAGAGACACTTCCCAGAATTATTGCAAAGGAATTCTAGTGACTTGAGTCAAAAGCACAATGTTTGGAATGTAAAGTCCTTGGTTTGCTGAGTTGCCTTCATGTTTACATCAAGGCATTGGCTGCTAGTAGAGCGGTCTCGACTGGACCAATCTCAGCGCTGCCGACCCGCCCAGGGCTATCTCAGAAGAGAGGTGCAGACACAGATGCAATTGGCACACCCATGCAGCTTGGAGAAGTTTTTTTTGGTCCAACGATGAATCCAATTCCCCCATGGCTACTTCTCTATATAAGTGCAACTTAATCTCTGGCCATGTTGATGGCTAGTAAAAATCATCTCATAAATGAAGGTGATTAAACTAATTTGTAAACCACAAATTGAGTTATGGTTTGCAAACATTGTGGGTTCCCAATTGCCGAGGCATTGTACAGTTGCACTACTACTTCGAGGATCAGCACAATGTCCTGTTGCTGTTGGAGTATGCCAATGGCGGAGCCCTTTTCAGCTATGTCAGGCACAGCAGCAAAGCCTCGCCACCAATATGCCTTCATTTCAAGCGGAAATCAATAGGGCAGTCAGGGTACACTATGTATTGCATGTATCAGATTATCACAATTTGGGAGTACCCCCTAATTAATAAAGAGTTGTTTGTTACTCTCAGGTTGACATTATCCCATATGTCTATCTTTTTTCAGACCTATCCATATGACCCTATGGCTAGCATCGGCGTCTAGTGACGCCATGTCGGTGTGCTTTTCCACGCCTCAGAAGCCGTGGTCATTTACCTGAACCAGAAGCTGCAAGGCAGGGAGTGGACAAGCATTAAGACCAAGGGATGAAGAGGACGAAGACACACCTTTCCGTATCATGCTAGACTGGCCTTGTGAGCCCGTTGGTACATGTTGATATGTTGGTACCATGTGTTTGAGCCATATCAATCAACATTAGAATATAGACATTAACATTTGATTATACATAATTATGTACCTTATTCATAGCTGGGTAGACATATAATGGGGATAAACTGGCTCGACCCATTTGCAGGCCTCAAGACGAGGCCCGTTGTTGGGACTGCCAGGTATTTTGCCAACGTGGCCTTGGCGCTTACTCACCTGCACAGGTACCAAATCGCGACTTGTCAGCAATGACAAGCCTGATGATTTGCCCCCGCGACGATCCAAGGGGTCGCAGAATGGGTTGGATAAATCAACCATGGCTAATTGGAGATTAAGACATTAGAGATTTGCAGTCTTCAATCAGAATTGAATGAAATAGATAGGTAAGTCCGATAACCTTCAAAGCAACACAACTTGCCCCCCAAAGGTGTGGCCCAGCAAACAGGCCTGAGGGTGATTCATCAAGGGTTGCTGTGTGCAGCCTAGGTGCACCGTGACTTGAAACCCGAGAACATCTTGCTGTGTGGCGACTCACCCAAGAAGGTGAGGCCATGTGTGGCCCACGGCAAGTGACAGTCTGGGTGCACATGTTAAGCTGCATATGTTTGGGCTGCACACGTTAAGCTAACGCGTCTAGCAAGATGTGTCCCAAATATTGGTGCAAACGGCAGATCAGCAGCCTTTGTGGTCCGTTGGGGTGTGTGATTTGATCGCACTGCTGTTGCCGCCACAGTTTGGAGTTCATTTCCCGGGAACAGAACGACAACCTGCAATGGATACCAACATCCACCCCTCACCCTGCATCTGGTATCAAAATGTATCGGTTATGGGGATACGATTTTCTTGAGGATGCCTTTGATTTCACGGATGTGCATCGAGATATTGATGATTTGGTGACCATGTGGCAGGCGAAATTGGCGGATTTCGGCTGGTGTGCTGAGCTTTCTGAATCCCAGGAGCGCTTAACATTCTGCCGCTTGGCGTTTTTTGCCAGAAGTGAAACATGGTAACTGTCTCAAAATGGGGTATGTTGTAGTGATACACCAAAATTACATGTTTTGGGTGTTGAGAACATGAAGAAAACATGGCACCTGTCTTTGGACAAGCCCGGCGTTGGTGAAACTTTCTTTGGCACTAGTTGTGCTCGTATAAGTGTGTGTGTGTGTGCACGCTTGTCATTCTCAACTGGGTTCTTGTTGATGTGTTTTGACCATGTGGCTGGTGGTTCAGATGCTATTTAGTGCAAAAGCCCTATTTGGATGTAGTTGAATCATACTTTGGGATTTGCTGAACACAAGTAATTACTTCAAACCACGGGCAGCTGAAGTATTGGCAATTGAAAACGGCTGCGCCCCCTTAACTTTGACTTGAAGGATAGCAAACACACCGAGTTAGATCATGTCAAATGTCGACACCGAAGCAAACTTGAAAACGCCCTTGCTTGGTAGTCAAAGACGGCAACAGGAACTCCCTTAATGAAAGGTCCTCCAGGATGCCATGGATAAATTCTCCATGGCACTTGTCACAGGCCCCTGGGCTGTTCCAGTTGCATCACACGTGACTTGGCTCAGGTGGAACTTTTGATTATCTCTCGCCAGAAATGGTGCCTCGGCTGAAACTGAAGATCCTCACCGATCCCAATTGCGAAGCTTCGAGCTGTCTAGTGTGCAAAGGGATTACATACATACACATTACATACACAAAAAATCACAAAAACATCCCTCCAGGTCACGAAATGAGCGGTTTTAAGGCAAAATGTATGGTTCACCACAGCGCCAAGGTGATTTGTCAATCTGATTTTCATATGATTTTGGGCGCCCAATTTGAGGTATCTTCTTTCTTTCGCGCGTGAATTTGCCGCTATTTTGCTTTTGGTCAAAAGTTTTATGAGGGACAAAAATGGACGTCAGCGTTCTCTTTTCTTTCACCTCACAAGTTCGCTGCCTCGTGCACAGCGTGGCCGGTGACACTCATCAGATTTTTCACCTGTATGCCCATCTCCAAGCATATGGTTCTACGTTTTCCACAATTAAGTAAGAGCGTAGTTGCAAATTATTTGGGCAAGTTAAGAGAGAGCGTGTTGCAGCGTGTGGCAAGTTACTTGTAAAAATCAATATCGCAAGCATCAAGAGCATTAAGCAAGTTACTTGTGCAAGTTAAGAGCGTAGCATCAAGAGCGTGTTGCAAGCTGCTTGTGAAAGTTAAGAGCGTAGCATCAAGAGCGTGTTGCGAGTTGCTTGTGAAAGTAAGAGCGTAGAACCATGTAATTCTGTCAAAATGCAAGAGAAAAGAACGTTATTAGCCCCGACCCCCCTAACCCCACCCCGATATGCAAAAATGAGAGACATCAAAAACGCCAAAAACGCTAGCACATTTTTCATCATTTTTCCCTCCGCTAGCATAAACATACATTTGCATACATTTGCCTGTATATATATATACACATGAAATTTACATACACATATATACGCATGTGTATAATATACATATGCGCATGTGTATTTAAAAAAACATATATATATATATACATACATATGTGTGTGTGCGTTTTTTTTAATACAAGTCAATATACATATATATATATATACATACATATGGGGATCGATCTAAAGGTCCTTGTAAAGAGTTTTTATTGCGAAGACCGTTCATCTTATGCTTGGAACCCTCGCGAAAGTTTTTTTTTGCGACTTCGCATAAGAAAATTGTTTATTCGCGAAAGTTGTAAATTTTGAATCATTATCATTGTATACATTACAGCTTGTTAAGGGCTACCACCTCCTGCCGCCCTGGGGTCCGGCAGGAGAATGGTACCGCACATTTACCTTTCCCTTTGGCTTCCGAAGGCGAGGCTTCGCCACAGCCAAATACCATGGTTTTGCAGCACATCCTTGCACCTGCCGCTGGTACTGCCTACGGCCTAACGTTGCTTTCTGAAGTCTCAAGAAACAAGCTCCAAATGCAGCAGCCAAGCTTCCAAAAGTAAAGCTTTGCGAGAGCCAAACGCCAAGGCCCCTGGTGTTTGCTTTTCCTTTGGTGCGCCCCCTCTGATGGTTGGGGTCTGCGGAGGGGAATTTTAGCGAAAGTTCTGCGAAGGAGTGGGCGTAAGTCAAAGTGCATTTTGAAGGGAGTGGCTCAGAAAGCCTTGCCAAAAAAAATTGCCTAATCAGCAATAACCTGTCCTGAGAAGGGGATTCCGTGATACTAGTGCTAGCTGCATGTTTACAAGGCTATGAAGAAGTTATCCGTGATGATTTGGTGTGATTTTGGCAGGTGGTGATTGAATCTTCATAAGAGGATTTGTTGCTCAACATGGATTCCGCGAGAGATAAACATGGAGTTCGCGAAAGATTCGCGAAATAATTTTTTTATGTGTGAAGAATGGCCGTTTGCAGGAAGGGAATTTAGATCAACCGCCATATGCCCATAGGCACTTTTGCATGTATATGATATATATGCATATAGACACATGTATGTGTGTGTGCGCGTGTGTGTTGTAAACTTTCATAATTCGAGGAAATAAGGGAATTACACAGAAATAGGGTTTAGGATATTTGCAAACCTATTGTTTCGGATTGAAATCCAGTTCGAAAGGGCTTTGAGCAAATTGTATTTAATCAGGTAGCTGCAGCCATCCACATGACTCATTTTGTGAAGAATTTGGGTGACAAACTAATAGATGTTCACAGCATAGGTCAAAATAAAGTATGCTCAGAAAAAACAGGAGCCATAAAGAAACGAATGCAGGCACCTAAAGAAATCATCCAAAACAAATATTTACAACATCTTACAACAGCTCGCTAGACTGGCGCCACAGCAGCAGCTGTCGATGTTGTGCATGAAAAAGGAAATAATTAATCTCTACACAATCTTTAATTCTTCAAATCTGTTGGGAGATTTTGTTTAACCATGTTCATGCTTATTGATATTGGCCTTTCGTTTTTACATGTTATGGTTTTCAAAATTGTTTTGACATGTTTTTGCAATCAGAAGCCTCGCCGCCTGCCAACAAAAAAAATCTATGAATCTTTAAAAAGACCCGCCGCAGGCGCCACTTTTGACCATTTGGATTGTCTCTCAAAGAATATTGCTTCCACAAATTTCAAACCAATCCAAAAACTAGACTCTACGAATAAGCATTGGATATTTTGAGGATATTTCATTTATTCATTTGCTTCAATGTTTTCATTTTTTAAATTTTACATTTCCCAAAATGTTTTATCATTTTTTATTTTTTTAAACAAAGATTATTTATATAAACTTATATTTTCTATTTTTACTTCATTTTTTCCGTTCTTTATTTTTTTATTTTGCTTATGTATTCATTTTTATTTTGATTTCTGTTTGTTTTATTTGCCTTTTTTATATGTGTTTTGATTTTTCCTTATTTCCGCGGAAATTCCTTAAATTCAAGGGCTTGCCTTGAATTTAAGTAATGCCGATTTTTTCCACGATTATTTTTCAAAAAAATGAAATTCAGTGTTTTTTGTTTTCGAAAAATCATCGTGGAGAAATCACAACCGACTAGTGGAGAAAAAACATTGAATTCCAACATTTGTTTTGAAAAATAATTGTGGTAAAAAGTCGGAATTCCTTAAATTATTCCTTAAATTCAAGGGCAGCCCTTGGATTTAAGGAATTTTGGCGGAAATAAGGAAAAATGAAAAAACATAATAATAATAATGATAATAAAGATAAACAACATGGGAGAACACATATATATATAATATAAACGAACTATAAAAAAAAACGTCTTTAAAAATACGCAAAAAATAAAACAAAAAATAAGAACAATAAAAAACAATTTAAACATAAATATATATATTGTTTTTTCTTAATGTGTAGCGTCTACTTTTATGGCTTTCAGGTTGATAGAATCAATTCTTGTTGGCGACGATCCAAACACTCAAAAGTGGCGCCTGTGGTGTTTTTCTTTAAGTCATAGGATTGTTTTTGAGCAACCGGCGGCGTTTCTTCCTGCAAAAAAAAATACGGTGAAAAGATCAGTGGAAAGAAATGAAAAAAACACGAAATCGGGGCCGTGTCTCGAAATTAGTTGCGCAACCATTTTTCAGCCAAGGATCCCCGCACATTTGATTTGATGCATTTTGCATACTGCATGCACTTTATTTCCGGGGACAGACCTTAAATACAACCCGCCACCTTCTTTACGAAAGCTACCAGTGTGTGTGTGTGTGCGCGTGTGTGTGTTTTACATACACACACTTGCTCAGAAACAACATTGCGAATTTTGTTGTGGAGTGCATCAAACGTGCACAAAACAATCCCTTTCAAACTGCCAGGAAAAATAGGATGAAAAGGCGAGAAAACCAGTGTAGATGAATTCTTTCTTTGTCCTTGCACAAAGTAACTGTTTCATCTGACGAAGTCAGCAGTAGTTCAGATTGCGAAAACCGTACATTGGATTGAAACCTGTTGACATCGAAGTTCTGAGGAAGGTCCTGATGCAATTGAAAACCGAAAAACGACATGCCGGTTCTTGGCTTGGCCGGTTGCCATTGACGGAAATGAAAATTGGTGCAGGTACGCAGATTGGCGTCCCAATCTGTATCACCAGATCAAATGGGTGTCTTCGTTGGTAGCGGTCCCAAATGATCTGCCGCTACCCCCTGCTTAATAAAAAGTTTAGAAGTTTTACATCTTTTCAGATGGTCCACACACACGCCTCGCTGCCGCGAGGCGGTTTTGGCAACTGAGGTCCCGACAATGAAATGAAAATGAAGAAGAAGGGAAATGAGAATGAGGTGAAGGTGACAATGAGATGAAAGTTACTTAACCAGGACGCAAAGAGGGGAACGCAAAAGAAGAGGGAAAGAGCAGACACCAACACATGAAACCTAGCCCAAACCGGGCAACCCTGAAAAGGCAAGGGAAAAGAAAAGCGGAGGCCGACGGAAAACGGACAAAGACCAGCGGAGGAGGGGGAAGACGGAAGCGCCTGAACCAACCTGCCGCGGCGAAAACCTACAACAACCTCAGCACGCGACGGGCCAAACCTACCTGGAGAGAGGAGAACGCAAGAACACATGAAATAGGGGCCCATGGGGAACTAGTTATTGACATGATGCATCCACAACGCATGCAGTATTCGTGATAAGGCTCAAAGGCCCTCGGCATTCATTTCAACCCCATCGACGGCTGTCAGTATTCAAGTGAATTACGTGCACAATTGAACCTCACCAACGACCATAAAAGAAAGGAGAACCACACCTAAAACATGTCCTGAGACCTCCAAGTGAATCCATGTCATGATGCATCTTGTCTGTCAAGCTCTCGAGCAACGTTGAAAAAACGGATGTTAACGTGGCTGCCAGCTATGTAGATCGGTAAAAAAGATCCCCGAGACAGCGGGAAGCAGTTCAACACTCACTCGACCGACAAGTGAGACAATGAAAAAAGGCCAGCAGTTCACTTTACTTAAACGAATTACTAATTCAAAAATGTAAATTCAGACATCGTTTTACTGTCAATTGTTAGCCTGGAAAGGCTTTCCCCGAAGGGTTCCTGCCAACTTGACGTATACAGCAGGAATGACACACTTGCTCAGAAACAACATTGCGAATTTTGTTGTGGAGTGCATCAAACGTGCACAAAACAATCCCTTTCAAACTGCCAGGAAAAATAGGATGAAAAGGCGAGAAAACCAGTGTAGATGAATTCTTTCTTTGTCCTTGCACAAAGTAACTGTTTCATCTGACGAAGTCAGCAGTAGTTCAGATTGCGAAAACCGTACATTGGATTGAAACCTGTTGACATCGAAGTTCTGAGGAAGGTCCTGATGCAATTGAAAACCGAAAAACGACATGCCGGTTCTTGGCTTGGCCGGTTGCCATTGACGGAAATGAAAATTGGTGCAGGTACGCAGATTGGCGTCCCAATCTGTATCACCAGATCAAATGGGTGTCTTCGTTGGTAGCGGTCCCAAATGATCTGCCGCTACCCCCTGCTTAATAAAAAGTTTAGAAGTTTTACATCTTTTCAGATGGTCCACACACACACACATTTACACACGGTTTTTTTACTGTACATATATATATATATATATATCTATCACAAAAAATTACATCCAAAATTTGTGATGACTCATCCGCGATCGGTTTTTCAGATCACTATGGCCTCCGCCATCATTTTCGCGCCAGTTGGAGAACGAACCACACGACAAGGGTGTGGACCTTTGGGCTGCAGGCGCCCCGGTGTAGGGGTCGTGTCAGTCATGGGTATCATATGGGGATGGGCCAAAACCGTTGAAATTACCACAGGTGGTACCATCAATAGGAATACAGCAAAAGAATCAATCAACCAGTTATTTTAGGAAATATTAATAGGACTATGTGGTTAGAAATTAAGCTGAAGAGTAAAGATTAATTAATAACACCAGTTATTTTGTTGGGTACCATCCGAGTACCTAGCTTTTGACCCATAACCAAATGGAATCATGGGGTGTACCCTTTGGTAATTTAATGTCGCGATAGAAAATCACCATTTGCAATACCGGTAAAACATGGAACTATTCCTGGGCCATGGTTTCCACAGCTCTGTGAAATTATCGGAGGGTAATGGATTTAAAAGTGGACTGAAGTTATTGGGATTTGATGGCGGTATAGCCAACAAGTATGGGAGTTGACGATCCAGTGGTGAATGGAAGGAGGCAAGCAGCTACGCATGGAGTTTTCCAACCGCATCATAGCAAGACTGGGAGATGCGGGATGTCCCATTTTCTTGGTGGAACATGAATATTATTCTTCAACATGCTGATCCACGACGAGATATGATGGGATCTATTTGAGAAATACAAGGGTTACAAATATTCATACAGCCCCTTGTTAAGACTCAACAAACATCGTTTTTGTTGACAATTGCTCGGATCTGAACCCATCCCAAATTTGGGGAGAACCCAATGACTGGACCCGTTAGGGTAAAACATCGGCTCCAGGGTCCGTGAAGCCACAAGCAATATATGTGTTTGAAGTATGGCCCCATTACAGCATCCCTCCAAAATCGCAAATTGACAAGAATCACAGGAACTCCACGTACTCGACATTCTAAATGATCTGAATGGATAACCCCTAGATCTCATCCCCACAAAGATGATATTCTTCGCCATTTTCGTTGCCATTTTCCAGGCTCCAGAGATCCTCCAAACTCTCCAGGTGTTCTGGTCTTCGAGATGTTAACAGGGCGACCTCCATTTCAGGCCTCCAGCCCCTGGCTCAGCTCCGGTAAGCCAACCCTTCCAGTGAGTTTGTTTCTGACTTGGGAATCAATGTATTCATCACACTGTTTTTTGCCGTTGTTGCAAGATGTTGCAAGTTGTTTGTTGCTAATTTTGTTACAGTCATTGTTTTGCACTGACGAGGGCTTTGTATGCTGGGTTTTGTTCGGCCTAGTTTTTTGAAGGGACTGTGCTACTATGATCCCTGAAGTTAAGATCGCTGCAAGCAAAGAGCCCCCAAAAAATGTACTTCTGAACCGGTCGGGTCTTTCGGCTTTCTGACGCTGAGGTCAAGTGAAACTGGTGAACCGCATTGTAAAGGTGGATTTTCAGGCCGCTGTAAGCAAGTCAGCTGCTATTTCATGCCATGTCGTGGCAGAAAACGATTGGATTACTATGATTGACATGGGATTTGCATGGATTTGCATCATGCCACCCCTGCAGTGACATGTATACACACACACATGTGAGTGTGTGAACTACATGCACTAGGTAACATTTAATTGAAAATATATACATCCAAATATGTGTATATACATGTACATGTTTTAACTAAGCAGGCAATTTGCAGCTCTAACTTCAACCACACCCTTTGTTTTGAAGCATTGGTTTGCAAAGGATTCTCTGCCAACTGGAGCACTTTTAGCGTGGTGAGCTGGAAGTATTGGCTCTGAACCTTTGATTCTCCGCTTTGTCAGTAAGTTCGAAAAGCACATACTTTTGGCCAATCTCTGGAAAATTACAGTATCTTAATCTGGCTCAATCTATCATTAATTAGGGCCCTAATCATTAGCGATCCACATGGATTTACATCAGTTGTGGGATAGATGACCATACCCCATTCATCTTGTGTAACAGGACCTTGGTACGTATATATGGTGCCGATTGCAATAACGACAGCAGGTTCCCAGTTCGATGCCGCCGCTGGCGGCGGATTTAGTGAAGAGCCTTCTGAAGCGGAATCCAAGTGAGTGCGGGACTTAAGAAATCATTGAAAAACGATAGCGGGGTGGCGGGGTCATCACCAAAAGTTAATAGGCATTTGACAGCATGGATATGAAGACACCGCAAAAAGATTTGGATGTAAAGAGAGACCCATCATTCCCTTCCAATTTCCCACAAGATGGAATCACTCTCCCCGATGAGAAGCATATTTTGGGAGATGGGTGGCACCACCAGCCTTCCAGGGTTTGGTTGTCCCCGGAACCAGCTCCGTGTCAAGCCTCCACCGAGGCGCTTGGACCTGAAGGACAGGCTGCGGTTTGGGTAGCCAAACACACACACACACGCGCGCGCGCGACAGGTGTGTGTGGGTGTCTTATCCGCATATTCGCCAACATTTGGATGACAAGAATGATAGTAAAATATCCCGTGCAAATGGAACAATCTTTTTGCATGAAAGAATCATGCATATATATATATAATTGTATAGAGAGAGCGAGAGAGACTTGCAGCATATTTGAACTCAGCCTTCAAATATGGGGAATTTTCCAGCAGAAATCAGTTCCGAGAGAAAATTCGAACGAACCCTATCATGGTTTGTCCACAGTCTACTGTATACAGACCAGGATGGCAATTTGAATGGGGAACACAACTATAAATCCAATACAAATATATATATATATATATGTACATATATGCAGTATACATGCTCCATCGGAGTTTGGGGTAGTTAACCTCCATCATTTGGACAAAGCTGAATGATGGGTTATATGGCTCACCGTTGTTTCACCCCATCCAAATCTCTGTGGTGCCATTGGGGCCATCGAGCAGGAAGCTATCACTCACCCATGGATTTGTCTCCATGTTCCTGGGACATCTTTGGAATTGAGTCAGGCACGGGGAGAAAAACCCATGGATGAATGACACTGTGGTAGGATATGTTGAGACAAAAACTGCCGTGATTTGTTTGGGCATGGACTTTCACTACTTTCTAGATGAAGAATAATAAAGGTATGATTACAGATATTTCAAACTGGCCGCGCCAGTTTCAGTTCTTTAGACCGCCTTCTTCTAAAAGATTGACCAATGGGAGGCCATGGAGTTTGGCTAACTGCTGATGAACTTGTTAGTTTTTGTGGGTTTTGATCATTTTGATCCACGAAATATACCGAGGTTTGTTTGGGGTTCTTGACAAAGTCAACAACTCCATGGTCCATCTCTAAACATCTCACTTTATCCCACTGACACGTACTTTATCTCTAAACGTCTCACTTTGTCCACTGGTTTAATATGTCGGAGTTTTGGGGATGGTATGATTGTTCCAAGCAGGGTCGTCATCGTCTCGTTTGGGCTACTCGCCAGTCTTGCAGTGAGATCTCCGCCTTGAAGCAAGTGGAACCCCTGAGGCGTGCAACGGAATGGGCATGCAGAAAAGCGTTGGTGTTCAATGGATATGGCAGACAGAATAGATGCATTTATATCTATATGTTTTTACAAAATTGCACCGAACATACGATGTGCACATTTATTTTGGCATTTATAATATATTACACACACACATATATATATATTGTGTACTGTATATTAGCACACAATTTCAAACCTGTACTGGTATGGGCCTCTTGGTTTTGTATGCACCTGTGGTAAAGCATAACCATGGCCATAGCTCTGGATTCGGTCAGGTCAAGGCACGACACGCACGAAGCCAAGGCCGCAGTGGGGTGGACCAATAAAAATCCATCACTGGTGATCTGAATCTAAACATATCTATTTTTATATAAATATATTATAGAATAGAAAATATTCAAAGGAATAGAAAGGGGGTTATAAATTCAATTTTTTGAAGCTGGATGGTAAACAATTAATCTGGGAAGATTTGATCCAAACTTATGGGAAAACAACAAACATCATGCAATACGATGGGGAGACCCCTCCAAAGGGCACCCCATGCAATTCATTGGGGATTCAACCAACCACATTTTTTTCGTGCGAATCTTAACCATCGATTGTCAGGGGGTCACCTAACTGGGGAGGTGGTTCAGTCCCCTCTTAGTAGAATAAGGGCCAATCGCTCGCATCTTGGGAAGGGTACATACAATTTTATACATGTTATCCCTCGCCCGCCAATTTTGCCAGGTCGATCTTGCAATTTTGGGCGGTGATGAAGTCCCAAAAAGAAACAGGTAAATCCATAGACCGGCCTTTCAGACTTTCTTTTTGCATGGAACGAAGTTGCGTACTTTCTGGACTTGGAGACTCAGTTTAAACCTTGGCGTCCGCGTTTGCAGCCATTGGAGGATGGATTCAAGATTCATGATGTGTGAAAGGGTCGAGTGGACTAAGGTGAGCACAGTTCCTTTGTTTATGGAGAGATGCTAGATTTCATTACATAATACCGTTCGGTCTGTTTTTCTGGGTCCATCTCCTTTCACCTCCCTTTCCCTTTCTATGGGGTTGCATCCAGCCTATTTTCTGGCGTGACCACCTGGCATAGCAACTACTGACCGTGGTAGTGGGTGGCCACCCACCTTCATCACATTTTTGCGCCTGGGATGCAACGGAAGGTTATGTGGTAAACCCAGTAAACCCAATGAGAAAGAGTCCCGGCAATCAACCATGCGGGGTCAGAATAAACGTCAAAACAGCATCCCATCGCTGGGGGCATACCCAACTCCATGAGCCTCAACTGGGCATGGGTCTCATCACAATCTCAATAAAATTTTCCCAGGAATTCCCACAACTATCCTACAATTGTATACAATTGTCCTAGGAATATTCTTTAGTATACCTCATTCTCACAGGGAAAAAGCTGCTGTAAGATTGTAACCATACACAGCGAGACCCACATGCCGAAGGTGAAAGAGTTGGAGATGGATTCTCCCCCGAGGTCAGTTGAGTTGGCCAGCGATGCTCGCAGCGGGTGTAGAATCAAAGGGCTGGTTTAAGGGAAGATCTCAACCGGAAACTATTGTTTTTACATTGAAAATATGGAAGCTTCCTGCAAATTGTCCCTCAAACCAATCCAATGATAGAAGCAGTAAGAGTTCAAATGATATCAGGGATATTTTTAGCAACAACTCACCTAGTCATTGGGCGTTTCCAAATCCAATGTCGGTCCCATCCCGGAAAGCCGGATGATGGGGCCTCGTTGACACTCAATTTTTGACGATGGGTGGCTCTACCACCGGTCCGGTTTGTAGTTCATAAGTCTTGTACAAGTAGGGAGAAGTACAATATAGAGCTCGCTATTTTTTTCTGCCATTTAGTGGTGTTGCTGTAATTTTCAATATCATCAGAATTCAGCCAAACATGTCCGCTGCCAGGAACAAAAAAACTCCCAAATCTGTAGTTTGAGGCCCCAGCCATCCCAGCCACTGTCAGGCGAAAGGAACCCGCGCCAGCGACTGGCGAGGTTGGGAAGTTCAGGGTAAGTTCTTACCGGGCATGGTGCCCTGATGTTTTCCTTGAAGAGGATAGATATGTTCCACTGTCAGACAGGTTTGATTATGAATCAACTGTAACTATGTCAAGAGTCCAAGAAATCAAAGGACACGCAATTCCTCAGCTTTGGCTAGGATATACGTACATAATATTTCATTATATATCATTATAACATTATAATATATCAATATGTGTATATATATATACAATAATCATATATTCAGTAGGTAGATAGATGGATGGATGGATAGATAGATATATAGATAGATATATAGATAGATATATAGATAGATATATAGATATCCAATAATATAGTCCAATGAGACGAGTTTCAGCCGTTTACTTGCTTTTCTTGGCTGCAAGTTCCCCAGCCTTGACGCCGTGTTTTTCTCAAACAGGTGCCCGCTCCGAAAAAAGTCTGATTCTGTCCATTGGGCAGAAGCCGTCACAACAGTTCATAGTACCTCCAAAAACATATGGGAAACAGTAAAATCTTAAGAAGCATAGTGAAGAATTGTCAAAAATACCTTTCTAATCCTTTCGATTTTTTCCGAAGTTGCTACAGTTTGACATCCGTTCATCACACGGTGCAGGCGTCGGAAAACCCGAACACCGTCTCGCCGGCTTCCACCGTCTCGGTACCACAGACGAGAGCAGGACAAGCGAGACATGCGTGGCTGCATGTACCCATTGATACCCTATGATTTCCTAATATGATATTCCATTGAATTGCCTGGGGTTCGCTTGCACATTGGCTTTTGTCTCGCTTAGAGCTTGGATTTTGGTTCGCTTAGAGCTTTGATTTGGCGTTTGATTTTGGATCGCAAGGTCGATAGAGCCCGTAGAGCCCGTGGAGCCCGTGGAGACCGTGGAGCCTTAGAGCCCGTAGGGCCCGTAAGGTCCGTGGAGCCCGTGGAGCCCGTGGCCCGTGGAGTCTGTAGAGCCCGTAGAGCCTCGTGGAGCCCGTATAGAGCCTGTAGGGCCGTAGAGCCCGTGGAGCCCGAGCCCTTAAGGCCCGTGAGACCCGTGAGGGGCGTAGAGGGGGTCATGCTATTGTCCATGAAACAGCGGCTAGAAAGTTCGACCAGTGGAAGGCAGAATTTAGCAGAGCCACTTTCTTGCAGTGATCTCCACCACTTGGCATGCTTGGAAAATACATTCTGACATAAATTAATCATTCTATATCATTCTATCTTGTGACATATATTCAAACATTCTCTTTGGCATTCTGTCTAGCATTGTATTCGACACTCATTCTGGCATCTTTCCAACTGACCTATATTTGAACCATCTATCTGACATTCTATTTGGCCGTTTTTTCAGATATATTCAGACATTCTATTTGGCATTCTTTCTAGCAGTCTATTTGACATATAGTCCGACAGTCTATCAAAATTCTATTAGTCCGACAGTCTATCAAAATTCTATCTCATGTTCGGGTCCGTGCGCGCCTACACTTTGCTGGAAAAATAGGATCACTCATTGCAAAGCAATGATGCTCCTTTTTTTACGTCAAGGGAAAAAAATTGTGCCTGGACAAAATTAGGCAGTTCCTTTGCCAGTAACTTGGAAGTTGTGACGCACTAAACTTTAAACAACAAACACAAAACTTTGGGTGAACTTTTTGAAGACAAGCTTTTCCGGCAGGAATTCAGGAACATGCGTTTGGTAAACGTAGTTCTTGTTCTAATCATCTCTTTTTATTTTCACTGTTCGCAATTTGGGGTGTAGATCCGTTAGGTTTAGATCCGCTACCTTTCAAATCTCAAAAAATCCCAAAAAAATCCTAGAAGTTCATGTCTCACTGTGGTATCACCAAGAGGCAGTAATGAAGCAAAAGGAACTGCGGACATGAACGGTTTTTTCCTACCAAAGCAATGCGATTTTTTCGGGAGAAGCCGTTGATTTGAACAATGGCAACCAATCTAATGACAAGTGATCCCTGTCAGTTGAAACTGACGAGTAAGGGTTCTGGATGTAGCAGCAGGCATGACCTCGGCTCAATTGACACTGACCTTCATCCCATGCAACAATAGACACCGGCAACAGCAATGCCAAGTAATGACAACTTTCGCACCTGCATATGCAAGAACATCACCCCTTTAGACACTTGTTGGCCCATTGTGAGACATTTTGAGACACTTTGAAACATTTCAAGCAATTTTGAGCAAATTTGACGAATTTTGAATAATTTAGCAGTTTTGAAAAATTTTTTCGAGCCATTTCGAGCAATTTCGAGCATCTTTGTCGGGCAAGTTTGGGTCATGCCGAGCAATTCTGAACAATTTTTGGAAGCACCATATGGCATTGTTGACCTTGGACAATGTTGAAAATGTCTCAGTGGAGGCTGCTTTGAAACATCTTACATTGACTGAAAAAAGTAGCTGACGTAAACCCCACGGATCTAGACCCTAAAACGAGATCAGTGATATTTTTGAGCATACATATATGTATGACCGTGCTCGCCTCAAATAGGGTTGGATACTCAGTATTGCACCTAAGATTCTTTCCATCATTCTGCAACCGTAAAGCCCGTACAGCCCGTATAGAGCCCGTAGAGCCCGTGGAGCCCGTGGAGCCCGTAGACGCCCGTGGAGCCCGTAGAGCCCGTCGAGCCCGAGCCTGTGGAGCCCATAGAGCCCGTTGCCGCAGAGCCCGTAGAGCCCGTGGAGCCCGTAGAGCCCGTAGAGCCCGCAGAGCCCGTAGAGCCCGCGGAGCCCGTATAGAGCCCATTAGCCCGTAGAACCCATATAGAGACCGTGGAGCCCTTAGAGGTCGTGGAGCCCGTAGAGCCCGTGGCCCGTAGCCCGTCGAGTATAGAGCCCGTGGAGCCCGTGGAGCCCGTAGAGCCCGTCGAGCCCGTGGAGCCCTTAGAGCCCGTCGAGCCCGAGCCTGTGGAGCCCGTAGAGCCCGTATAGAGCCCGTATAGAGCCCGTATAGAGCCCGTATAGCTTGCACAGCCCATACAGCCCGTGGGCCCGTGGAGCTCGTAGAGCCCGTGGAGCCCATAGAGCCCGTGGAGCCCGTGGAGCCCTGTGGAGCCCGTAGAGCCCGTGGAGCCCGTGGAGCCAGTGGAGCCCGTGGAGCCCGTAGAGCCCGTACAGCCCGTAGAGCCCGTAGAGCCCGTGGAGCCCGTAGAGCCCGTGGAGCCGTGGAGCCTAATCTAATGTTCACGTGAGCCGCAATCTAATGTTCAAGTGAGCCTCCAAAGCTCTAAGTGAGCCAAAAGCTCTAAGTGAGCCAAAAGCGCGAAGTGAGCCAAAATCCAATGTCCAAGTGAGGCTGGCGCCCCATTGAATCATCAGTCATTCATGAGCAGTCAGAACTTGAACGTTCGTGGCCAGCAAATGCCAGTGCATGTGGAGTTCTCTTTTTTTCCGGCATGTTTTCTCCGATGGTTTGGAAGTGGTTTCAATGGATTTCCCGCTGAAAACTGCGCTTGTCAGCTGCCCGGCCCTCCTTTGTCGCAGGATATTCTGATGCACGCAATGCGGCGGCAAGTAGAATGTTCCATGGACATATGTGTGCATTCTGGAGGTAGGTAGCATCGTCGTCATCATCATCATCATCATTATCATCATTATCCGGGTTAACATCGATATATATATATATGTATGTATGTATGTATGTATATATATATATATGTGTGTGTGTGTGTGTGTGCTGTCATTTGCTGTGTTTATTCTTATTACGTTTGATGACGATGACGATGGCCATGTTGCCACGTGGCTGATGATGTTCCAAGGCAGCCAGGACTCCTCTGTCTCCCCCGCCTCCACTGTGCAGGCTGAGGGGCGCCCGGTGATTTACAGTAACCACTGAAGAATGCAAATGCAAATGACATGGGACTTACATGGATTTACTAGATATTTATTGGAGTTTTGGGGATATATGATGGGTTAGTGTAGAATATCATGTGTATACAGTACATGCATACACATAGATATGTATATGTATACATATATATGTGTGTGTGTGTGTGCGTGTCATCATCATTACCACCAGCATCACCACCACCGGCATCAGCATCATCATCAGCATCATCAGCATTACCATCACCATCATCATCATTATCACCATAATCATTTTGTATAATTTGATGTTTGAATATGTGTACTCATGCTGTATACACACATTTGATGTGATACACGGTTTGTTTTGAAATCAGGTATGCCAGTGTATATCCAAAAATTGTCTCCGTGATGGTCAACATATCTTACTCGCCTTTAGCTCTGCTGAACGCCTTGAGAAGGCGATGGACAGAGAGATGGTGAACATGATGGTACACATTGATAACCTAGACGAGTGCATGAGGGGCTCACAATGCAAAATGGGCCGGAATACTCCCCTTGGACTTGCAATCATATACATATATATAATCCCCCTGGGAAATAGCTGTATAAAATCAAGGGGGTTGAGCTCCAAAAACAGGTTCATTTTATACAGTGGTTTCCCTCTGTGGTTGGGCTCCACTGGGGAGGGCTGTGATTCTATAGAGGTCTCAGGGTGTCAAACTCGAGCTTGGAGGTCTACGTTTTATATTAAGGCTAGCTTGGTGCATATAATGTTGGGGGTTCTTATTCCCCACCTGCCAGGTGAGGGTTCCTAGATTTTAACAGAGCTCTTCTCCTCCTCCGCCTCCTCACCCGCCGCCTCCTCCTCGCAGTCCAGATCCCAGTGGGCACAGCCGGACCTCCACCGCGAGCTCCAGATCCCAGTGGGCACTGCCGGACCTCAACCGCGAGTTGCAGATCGCAGTGGGCACTGCCGGACCTCAACCGCGACTTCCAGGTCGCAGTGGGCACTGCCGGACCTCAACCGCGACTTCCAGATCGCAGTGGGCACTGCCGGACCTCAACCGCGACTTCCAGATCGCAGTGGGCACTGCCGGACCTCAACCGCGAGCTCCAGATCCCAGTGGGCACTGCCGGACCTCAACCGCGAGCTCCAGATCCCAGTGGGCACTGCCGGACCTCAACGGGAAGAATGTCAGAGAAGATGTCAGATAGAATGTCAGAAGATATGCCAGATAGAATGCCAGAAAGAATGTCAGAAGATTGCCAGACAGATATGCCAGATGTCAGAAGATGTCAGATAGAATGTCAGAAGATATGCCAGATAGAATGCCAGAAAGAATGTCAGAAAGAATGTCAGAAGATATGCCAGACAGAATGTCAGAAGATATGCCAGAAAGAATGTCAGAAGATATGTCAGATAGAATGTCAGAAGATATGCCAGATAGAATGCCAGAAAAAATGTCAGAAGATATGCCAGATAGAATGTCAGATAGAATACCAGATAGAATGCCAGAAGATATGTCAGATAGAATCCCAGAAGATTTGCCAGTAAGAAAATGTATAAATGTCATGGTGGGGATCACACGAAGTAAAGTAATTTTATATTGATTTCAATTTTATGCTAGACTCGAGCCAAAAACTTAAATTCAATCATTATACCATACTAAAATGCACCCTAAAATCAAGCCCTTGTTCCGATTTTTCCACTGTGAGGCTTGGGGGTCTTGATTATGTAGCCAACCCAGCCTACCCAGTGTAGAATGTAGACCCTTTTTTTACTTAAAATTTCATACAAACTTAACCTTGGAGGCCTCGATTGTGTACAGTTGAATTCTTATTGGGGGTCTTGATTTTATATAGAAAAAAACATCTTTTTCTTGGGGATCCTGATTTTGTACCTATAGAATCAGACACCTCAACCCTTTAGGTGAATTCCCCAGAGGATTATATATATATATATACATATATACAGGGTGTTTGTTTTCCATGCTTATGCTATAGACCAGGGAGTGCCAGCACGTTGACCTAGCCGATAGCGGATAGCAATCTGGCACTGGTGACAATGCCAAAGTCCCAGCTTAGAGCCGCAGGTGTCATAAAGACACCAATGATTAGCCCCCATGTAGCGCTTGTTTTTCTCTTCATGTGTCAACAATGGTTGCCGTTCAATTCGGTTGACAGAGTTGCTTGGACATGCTGGGATCCCCAACCATCCTCAACCACAATCAACAAAGAGCATCAACAGTGCAAACCATTGGTTGAAATGTAATGTATCGATCCATCCATCCGTCCAGCCAGCCACCCCTGTAGATCCGGTAACAAGCCGCAATATATGTACATTAAGTTAAGATGCTACATGTGACAACATTAATGCATAATACAGGTGTAAAAAAAACATGTATATCATGAAGCATATAGTTGTTAGTTGTGATATTCCATAATGTAACACGACATGTGTGCACATGGGCGTTGGTGACGTTCCATTCCTCCAGGTGGCGAGCCGCCCCAAGCCCTCGGTGATGCCCTGGTCTGAGGGGAAGACTCCCACCGAGAGAGGATCTAAGGCGGACCCCGAACCCCATGATTGGCTTCTGGCCATTGATGAGGGAAAGCCCCAGCTAACCTCTTCTTATTTGCAAATCCGTTTGGAAATCCATTTGTTTCCATCCATTTCCAAATTGGGAGCGTGGGATTGCGGGATAGATGGAAAGCCTTTCGAGAGTTGCAACCCACATGTTTGGAACAGGGCGATACCAGCAATAGCTGCACGCCAACTCCGAAGGCGGGTTGCAATATGTGACAAGAGTTTCTTGGGGTATGCTATGAGTCGGATGACTTTCTGTAGAGGCATTGAAGGCGCTGGAATGATTTGCATGATTCCTTTCTATTTGTCACAGGGTTCAATCATTGTGAATCAGGTCCATATTGTTAAATATACTACTGGCTCCCGGGGTTAAGTCGTAGCATTGCTGTTTTGTCGTAGCAGATCAGCGTGTGCCTTGCAGAACTGCATGTTCTAAAGCTTGATTTTGTGATAATATATGTTGAACAGATTCTGATATTTTGGTCTTGGGTGAGCGTGTGCCTTGCGGTGCTTTTCTTCCGTATTGTATGGTAATGCATTTAGGAAATTAGAATTGGTGCTACATTGCTGGACAGCTGCTGGGCTGCTGGGGTACTGCTGAGCGAGTGCTACTAAGCTGTTCTCAGAAACCGTTTGTTACTGCATTGCTGCAGGCTGGACTGCTCCAAACTGCTGATGGATTGCTGGTCGATTTTCATTACGCTGCTGAGCCGCTGCTGCAAAATTGCTGCTGGCATGCTGCTAGATAGACTGTTGCCGGGCTGGTGCTAAGCTGCCGCTGAAGTGCTGCTAAATGTATGCTCGGTGTCACAATGGGCAGCGTGCAAACTGCTGCTCGGCTGCTGCTGGACTGCTTCTAGACTGCTGCTACAGATTGTTGCTTGAATGCTGCCAGACCGCTGGTAAACTGCTGCAACTACTGCTCAAAGAGCGCATGGCAGGCTGCTGCCAAACTGCTAGCAGGCTTCTCCTGAGGCCTAGGCTGCTGCCCCACTTCTCGGTAGCTGCTAGACTACTGCTAAACCGCGGCTGGACTGCTGCTAGACTTTGCTAGATCGATGTGGCTCAGCTTTCCGAATGCAGAAGCCGATAAAAGCCACAGCTAGATTCTGGCCTTGTATTTTGGATTGCTTTTGGGAGCTGGGGTTTCCAAAGCTACTTTCTGACCTCGTTTGGTACGTCGTTTTGACCTTGTTCGGGACTTGTGATAAAAACCCACTTGGGGGCTCAGTTTTACTTTCTTTCTAGAATCATTGTGCCGTTGGGTTGGGTTACCAAAGCACATGCCGGGCGCAGGCATCGGGTGAGTGAAAATCATATCAAAAAACAATCTTTGGTGGACACTGGGGGCTCAAGCATCCTGAGGACAGCGTCTCCAATATTTTTACAGTTTCCGGAGCGTGTTCAACCCTACAAAAATGATTTGATTTTGATTGTATTTATCGATTTCAAAGAGTACCACCATACCCCTACTTATCAAGCGGTTACATGGTGAGTAACATGACAAACACATACCCAAAACATATACTATGAATGCTGAACTGATCAAAAGCAGTATAATATGAGCCTCGGTCGAAGCCGCGTACACATTTGGAAAGGCATCACGCGGCTATGACTTAAACGAGCGGGCGTGACTTAAACCAGTTGCAGCGTACACATGCAGAAACAGGACCCCGGCAATGACTTAAGACGAGATGCTATGACAGACTTAACCCTGCCGCTTGTACAGTTACTGTAAGTCATCATATTTTGGAGTGTCCAATCCCCTAGTGTCTTGATCATACATACTGAGATTAGATTCAAACTTGGGCACAATGAACAACGAAGCAGGTGCCGATACCCAAATGCCTACCTAGTAGCCAGGAAGCTGTGAACAACCTGGACTTTGGGTTGGATCGAAAGGACGAGCACCAGCTTTTCGGGGATGGACTGGGTTGGACTGGGATGGCCTGTGGTAAAAATTTTATACCCTCTAGTTGGCCACAAGGTTGTATGAGCCAACCTGATGGTATAAGATGTTTAGGTCCGATGAGGGATCAAAACACTGAAAAGCCACATCAGCCAGTGTGATTTGCCCACCTCAAAATGTTCCTTTTGCATCCGCCTGTGCAGGACAATAGAGCTGGCAGCAAGGACAGCAACAACTGGGCGGGTCTGGTTTGATGCTACAAGCACAAATGTTCACAATGGAGATATATTGGTTCAGTATTTTTGGTCCGTTGGGGATGCTCACCTTCCCAATTTCTCCTTGAGTTGGTCGAAAAGGACTCCAACTCAGCGCCGGATTCCTCACTAAAGCAGCCAGCTCAGCGGTGATCCCAAGTGAAAGATACGGCTTACCCTGCAGTAAATGAACATAAATTAACAAAAACATGTAAAAGCATATGAAGACCATAAAGAATGAACCATCCATTAGAAAACAATCGCGACAAAAAAGGAAGAAAACATGGGTTGTCCATGTCCATATCTATGTACACCTGTAATGTGGTATCTTCAGTGACGGGTGGCTCAGCCCCAACCCCGGCTCCACCATCCAGGTGGCACGAAACCGAAACCTTCGCCAAGCTCCGAGAGTGGGTCAAAACGGGCCCGGTAGCGAAGGCCCGGTGACACGCCGTGGATACTTAGGTGACTTTGAGATGTTTGAAAAACATTGCATATGTATATTTATGTTTTGGTGAGGGATATATTATATATATATATATAAATAGAGAGAGAGAGAGAGAGAAAAAAAATCCGCCCACACCGCTTTGGCGGTGAAGGCGTGCTTATTGGGGGGCAAAACAACAACACTAAATGCTCAATGACATTTGTTAATATAGCAGTCGCTATATCAGCTTTAGCTGGGGGGGGGGCCAAAAACGATTTCGCACCGAGACCAGAATACGGTGGTGTTTTCGACATTTTTCGAGGATTTTTGGGTGTCTGAGCGCAAGAGGGTATTGAAATGGAATTTTGGGTCATTTTGGTAGCTTTCTGGCAATGGAAAAACGGCCAAAAATGAAAAAAACATTGTACATAGCAAGATTTGCAGGGTTTTTGAATGCCAGAGCATTGAAAACACTGCAAAAACAAGTGTTTTGGACTGACGTTATAGCAAAAAACATGTAAATTACCGTATGCTTGACTGGAAACATTACAAAAACACTGTCAAAAGCAATGTTTTGGAAGGATTTACTGCCTTTATGGCAAAAAACGTGTAAATTACCGTCTGTTTGACTGGAAACATTGGAAACACACTGTCAAAAACAATGTTTTGGAAGGATTTCTTATATATATGTTGGAGTTGGCTACCGGCATTGGAACATGGAAAAATTGAAGAAAACACTGTAAATAGCGGGATTTTCAACGGTTGGGGAGATAAGGGAATTGGAAGCATTGTCGAACATGATGTTTTCGACCGGTTTTATGGCGACAAAAGTGTAAAGTACCGTGCTTTGAAGGAAACCATTGCAAAAACATGGAAAACACATTCAAAGAACACGGGATTTGGCGGACTATCTAGGCGTCGTTGTCTAGGTATTTGAAATTCCGCAGCTTGGAGAGCCTCCAAGGGAGGGAAAAGTGAAAATTCCATAGCTTGGGAAGCTGTCACGGCGGGGAAAAGTGAAAATTCCCTAGCTTGGGAAGCCCCACGGGGGGGAAAAGTGAAAATTCCCTAGCTTGGGGAGGCCCCACGGGGGGGAAAAGTGAAAATTCCCTAGCTTGGGGAGCCCCCACGGGGGGGAAAAGTGAAAATTCCCTAGCTTGGGGAGCCCCCACGGGGGGGAAAAGTAGCTTGGGGAGCCCCCACGGGGGGGAAAAGTGAAAATTCTTAGCTTGGGGAGCCCCCACGGGGGAAAACCACCGTTAGCCCCTCTCACGGACCGAAATAAACCTGCGGTGTGGGCGGCCACCCCACGCGAAGCGGGGTGAATAATAAGCTGCGGTGGTATCCCCAACAGTCGCAACGTTTTATTTTTACAATTTTTTCTCAGCCTTCTCCGGTCCCCGTTGAACCTGACTTGGCTTTGCGCCATGGCTTCCTGGAACCTTCTCCGGAACCCCTTGAATCTGACTTGGCTTTGCACCAAAGATTCCCAAAACCTTCTCCGGAACCTTCTTCGGAACCCTGTTGCACCTGACCTGGCTCTGCACCAAAGCCTCCCAAATTCTTCTCCGGAACCTTCTCCGAAACCCCGTTGAACCTGACCTGGCTTTGCACCAAAGCCTTCCAGGCCTTCTCCGGAACCTTACTCCTGAACCCTGTTGAACCTGACCTGGCTCTGCACCAAAGTCTCCCCAACCTCCGGAACCTTTCCTGGAACCTTCTCCGGGACCCTGTTGAACCTGATGCGGCTCTGCAACAAAGCCTCCCGGAACCTTCTCTAGAACCTTCTCCGGAACCCTGTTGAACTTGACCTGGCTCTGCACCAAAGCCTCCCAGACCTTCTCCGTCGCCTTCTCCGGAACCCTGTTGAACCTGACCTGGCTCTGCAGAACCTCTTTGAATCTGACCTGGCTTGGCACCTGTTGAACTTGACCTGGCTCTGCACCAAAGCTCCCCGACCTTCTGAGGAACCTTCTGGGGAACTTTCTCCGGAACCTTCTCCGGAACCCTGTTGAACCTCACCTGGCTCAGCACCAAACCCTCCCGTAACCTTCTCCGGAACCTTTTGTGAAACGTTCTCCAGAACCCTGTTCAACCTGACCGGATTCTTATCCGGAACCTTTGCGGAACCCTGTTGAACCTGATCCAGAACCTTTCCGGAACCTCGTTGAACCTGACCCGGCGCCCGCACCAGTGCACACCGGAGCTATTCTGGGCTAAAGACCCCATTAGCTTGCGCAGTGAGGGGAAAAAAGAAAAGGGAGAGAGAGGGAGAGAGAGAGAGAGAGAGTAATGTGTAGTATATATATATATAAAAATCCAAGGTTTGCTTGGTTGATTGTTGGTGGATACATCCCTTGTTTTTGTTCATCCCATGAGCTGATCCCAATCAGCGAGGTTCCCGAGCGCAATCAGTTGGACCTCACTCTGGGGCAGGTGAGTCATGGGAAATCCTCGTTGGCAATGGAAAATTTCCTGCACATAGGGGTCTAAAATTAGCGGTTCTTGCATTGCCACGTTTGATTACCGGAGCGATTTGTTTAATTATATATACTTATACATGATTATACCGACATCACTGCGATGTCATCGTGAATCCATATAAATCCTGGTCAGTAAGGGCAAGTATCTCAACATGACCTTGTTTTAGGTCACGTTCCATTTATTTGATGGCTTGGAGGGGAGTGGGAACAAAAAACACAAGAGAGAGTTGTTCGAACATGTTTGAAAGGAACGTGTAAGGGTTGAAGCTGGCACCTGTCGGTGGTAGTTTGGGGGTCAAAATCGGCAGATTGAAATCATGAATGTCACGTACCATACGGGTTTGTTTGACACTGTGGCATCCCCAAACCCATTGCTTACATACTACCATTTTAGATCATTTTGTCGTATATAAAGCCGCTGTTGTGCTATATATATATATGTGTAGACATATATTGGAAAAGCCACCAGATACAACGTCCCAAGACGCCGTATAGATCTATCATATGCTAACCACTAAACAAATCTTAGGGTGTATCTTCGGTTTCACCATTCAAGTTGTTACATATTGCTGAATTAGTTTCCACATCAAAATGCATTTCAATTTCCGTAAAATTGAGTGCAATTCCACAATTTTTGCTGTACAACTGTACAGCCACATGAACGCTTGCATTTATTGTGTTCCTGCGACTTTTCGCAGGCGCCAGACCTGTTAAGCCAAAGCTATCCTGCGCAGGGAAGTAGCAAGATCGTGATGGACAGCTGGAAAGATGGGAGGGTTAATAATATGGTATGGGATATTAATCAGTAAATCTGATATTAATGGCATTATGTAATCAATAATCCGGCCAAACATGGATTTTATGATATCATCAGCAAAATTGGTTATAGAAACATGGAGCTATTTGGGTAAACCAACTGATGCGGCGGTAGCTAGTTGAATCTTTTGCTATAATTTGGGGAGATGTGCTAACCAGCAATTTGTCCGGGGTATTTGGTGGCGATGCCAATGATTCTTGATGATTTTTTGGAGTTCCATCCCCAACGGGGATTGTTTTGGGGAGGGGTGAAGGCACCCAGTTTGGCACCAATTTGTAGTTTGGAATTGGAACCAATCAGTTTCTTCATTTTTTGCCAAGGCTTGGGAAATATTCCGCCATTGTTTGGACCCATGTTTTTTCTTAGAGGTGCTGCACCCATTGGAAGTCAATGCCGCACTATATACATGTGCAAACATGTGCACAATGTATATATATATGTGTGTGTGTGTAATATGACATACATATATACATTTTACATTGAGGCTCAAAGTATGTATATATATATATACACATACATGCACAATATACACAATAAAGGTTCTATGTACGTTTGGTGCCTTCAGCACCATTTTCTAAAATTGTTTGCTGGTGTTTGGCCTTGATCACCGGCGTAGCCACTATGCAATTCATCACTTCCTCTCCCGAGTCAGAAGCTATATCAAAATGATCATAGTTGGCATGTTGTACTACAATATGCTGCTTACCCAGCTTTTATTATCCAGCTACATATTATTATAGACTTCTTTGTGTTATGAATGTGATGTAATGTTATGTTATGTAATGTGATGTTGCGCACTGCTATGTAATGGAATATTATGTAATTATTATGCTAATGCGAATGTTAATGCAATGTAATGTAATGTAATGTAATGTAATGTAACGTCAATGTTGTTAATGTCATGTTGTGTAATGGTACCTAATGCTTTGCAATGCTCTGTAATGTAATGTAATGTTGATGTGAAGGTAATGTAACGTAATGTTAATGTACTTTTAATGTCATGTTGTGTAATGCTTTCTAATGCCATGTAATGTAATGTTATGTGATTTCATCTAATAATGTGTAATGTAGTGTAATGGCATGTAATGTTATAATCTGTGATTATAAGTAATGCAATGTAATGTGTGAGCATGTAATGTAACGCAGCGTAATGAATAATGTAATGTGTAACGTAATGCGTAATGTAATGTGTAATGTAATGTGTAATGTATTGTAACGTTCTGTTATGTACTATGTACTGTTTGTAGTGCTATGTATGTTATGTAATGTTTCGTAACTTAATGGAATGTAATGGACTGTAATGTAATGTTTAATCTATCTATCTATCTACTTAAGTTTAATCTATTCTAAGCTAATCTGTATAATCATTAACATGAAGGGGATGGAGAGAGAGACAAAGAGACGCACAGACTGTGAGAGAGAGAGAGAGGGGTGGAGATATTATCGACATATATATATATACTGCCCAATTGGTAAGCGCAGCTGTTCACAGCCTGCATCGCAGGATCCGCTAAGTATGACCCTGACAGAGGTTTCCCGCCTGCAGTTTGTCGTGGTTGCATGCGATTTTCTACCGTGATTGGGAACGTGACATAGCTTCTTTGACCCACCAGACCATATGGTTGAGGTCTAACAACGGGCAAACTGTTTGGATTTTAATTGATTGGGTTAACGAAATCGGTGATACCAAAGTATGCAACGAGTAACATGACTGTCATGATTCAAAATGGGATTATACCAGAGTTTGGTGGGGCCCGGCCACCGCTTGATCCAAGGATAGCCGGCTGGTGCCGCAGCCAAAACGCAAAGCGGCCGCAGGCAGAGATGGGTCAGCAGATGCCAGCAGGGCTGGCACCCTGGAGGAGTAGACTGAGTAGACCTTTTTCCCGAGAGCATCTGAGCGCAGGGTTCTTCCAATAGTGGGGGTCTGTATCTCATCTTCTCATCTTCACACCTTCTCATCTTCACACCTTCTCTCACACCTTCTCATTTTCACATCTGCTCATCTTCACATCTTCTCTCACATCTGCTCATCTTCAAATCTTCTCATCTTCACATCTGCTCATCTTCACATCTGCTCATCTTCACATCTTCTCTCACATCTGCTCATCGTCACATCTGCTCATCTTCATATCTTCTCTCACATCTGCTCATCTTCATATCTTCTCTCACATCTTCTCTCACATCTGCTCTCACATCTGCTCATCTGCACATCTGCTCATCTTCACATCTTCTCTCACATCTGCTCATCTTCACATCTGCTCATCTTCACATCTTCTCTCACATCTTCTCTCACATCTGTTCATCTTCATATCTTCTCTCACATCTTCTCTCACATCTGCTCATCTTCACATCTTCTCTCACATCTGCTCATCTCTCTCTCATCTTCATCTGCTCACACCTTCTCTCACATCTTCTCATCTTCACATCTTCTCTCCTTTCTCTCTCCCTTTTCTCTCTCTCGCCTTCTTTATCTTTCTCTCTTTAGGCCGAGGGTGGTGCCGGCGGTGAGTCACGAAACGGCAACCCTTTCGCACGAAATGAGGGTTGATCGGCAAAATCTGAGGTAAAATTGCGATTTGACTTGTCCTGGAGCAACCCTTTCGCACGAAATGAGGGTCGATCGGCAAAAACTGAGGTAAAAGTGCGATTTTACTTGTCCCGGAGCAACCCTTTCGCACGAAATGAGGGTCGATCGGCAAAAACTGAGGTAAAATTGCGATTTTTCGTGTGCCGGAGCAACCCTTTCGCACGAAATGAGGGTCGATCGGCAAAAACTGAGGTAAAATTGCGATTTTTCGTGTGCCGGAGCAACCCTTTCGCACGAAATGAGGGTCGATCGGCAAAAACTGAGGTAAAATTTCGATTTGACTTGTCCTGGAGCAACCCTTTCGCACGAAATGAGGGTCGATCGGCAAAAACTGAGGTAAAATTGCGATTTTTCGTGTGCCGGAGCAACCCTTTCGCACGAAATGAGGATCGATCGGCAAAAACTGAGGTAAAATTACGATTTTACCTGTGCCGGAGCAACCCTTTCGCACGAAATGATGGTCGATCGGCAAAACCTGAGGTAAAATTGCGATTTTTCGTTTTTCGCACGAAATGAGGGTCGATCGGCAAAAACGGAGGTAAAATTGCGATTTTTCGTGTGCTGGAGTAACTTTCTCGCACGCAAAGAGGTTTATGTGTACGAGCGTTTCTGTGTAGAGATGCAATCTGCAAGCAGTGATCGCTTCAAGGTTTTGCAGGACAATCTCGGGACGGACAAAAAAAGTTTTAGTTAGGCTCGCCATGACATTACACACTTGGTCACGTATTGTGATGTGGTGCATATCATCGAGTCCTAATTAAGACCCTTAGGCCTTAGCTTCAGACTTTGATACTGCGTATGTAATTATGGCCTGCTCCTATAATTGTTTGAGGGAATAGGATGGTTCCCCCACCCTGGCTGGGGGCCAGGTCGGTTCTTTGCCTGACTCAACGCCGTCGTGACAATTGAATTTGAAAATGAAGTGCATCAGCATGAGTCAACCAGAACTGTCTGAGACTTGCTGATGCACGCATCTTTGCTTGAGACGTTCAGTTTCACCATAGTGCATCCTGTCTCACCATAGTGCATCGGCGTGAGTCAAGCAGAACGGTCTGAGACTCCATAGAAGAGCAATAAAGCTGCCGATTCCTTTTGCGCATATAGTTGTGCCGGGACATCGCTGAATGTGATCTGTCACAGTCATTAGTCATAGTTCTTGAATGCTTTGCGGGTCCGCATTGTGCAGCTAGGTTTGCATGGAGTCAGGGCCCCGGGATGGGATGGATTACATGGATAGGCAGGCTGCTACCACAAAGAGACAAATCGATATATTTTATATTGAGATAGAGATAGAGATATGATATAAAGATGGATGTATGACTGTTAATATCTAGAGATGGATGTATGAGTGTTAAGATAAGAGTTTCCATTCCAGTCACAGTCAGGAGTCAGGACCCTAAACCCAAAAAGAACCAATTTATATCATATCACGAAAGGTAGCTCCAGAGGGGCTACCTTGAGTTTTACTTTACGAAGTAAAGGGGAGGGCGGCCAGCCCCGTTACCTGATTCTTCAGGAGATTGCTAGTCATTTTAGTACCCACCCCCCCCACCCCCCTCCCTCAACACCTTCTATGCACCCTAAGAGCAGATAAAATTACTGTAATTTACAGTATTTTTGTTCTTTTCGGATCAAGAAACCACATTTTGCTACATGGTGAAACCTCCGTAAATACCAGTGTTTTTGCTAGGTGCTGGCCAAAAAACACTGTAAATAGCGTGCTTTTTACAGGCAAAAAACATCGTAAATATCGTGGTTTTGGGCTTCCGACCCGCCAAAAACATTGGTATTTACGGTGTTTTTTGCTCCGAGCGATGCAAAAACACGCGAAAACACCACCGATTTGACGATTTTCGGCCACTACGGAACCGAGCAAAAACGCTGCAGGGGTAACACCAACACCGACAAGAACAACACAAACAGCAACAGCAACAACAACAACAACAACGACGACGACGACAA